ACATATACCATTATAATCTTCCTCAGGTTAAGAATGATGACACACAACATGTCCTAAAGCGCCACAATCACATAGAGCGGGACTTACAACATCAACTTCATTATTCTAAAAACCTAAAGACAGAAGTCATAAAAGTTATTAGTTTATTTCTCATGCACATAAATTTTATCCGTACTCTGAGAACAGATGTTTATATTTGAATAAAGATTACGTATCAATGAAGAAAATTAACAAGTTTCTCCCCTGCGATCAAGAACTAAAACTAAAAGACTACTCTCACACAACATAATAAAAGAAAGATTACTAAATATTTATTGAGATAAGATAAAACTTGCAGACTCTTGCTACAGACTTCCTAAATTATTTTCTATTACTAAAGAGAGGGATGAGAGGGATGAGAGGTTTTAGTGGAGAGAGAGAGGGATATGTGTAAGTGATAAGGGATGAGGGATGAGAGATAAGAGATCTCACTCCTCTTATTTATAACTTGAGCAAAACCATAAACCATTGATAGAAAACCACATAAGCGCATGGTTTTGAAATAGTAACTTTGAAAAAGTTGGTCCTTCATGATGAAAAAGTGAATGACCATTAAAAATGCTTTTTTGAAAAAGTTGGATAATGCCTCCAAAAGTAGATGTCTTCCATCATTTCTAAAAAAAATATATTTCTCAGGTAAAAGTAGATTTTCTTGCTGGTAAAAAGTAAATTTCTTGGTCCCAATAAAAATTGAATAGTAAAAAATCTTTTTTCTCCACTTGCATTTTTATGGTTCCATGGCATTTTCTAGATTATAGATAACAATATCATCAAAACTTTCAAGCAATCACCATCTTGGCTAGGTATGGGGTTAACCTTTCAAAGACTGTAATAAAATCACATGTTCTCTTAATAGTAAGTTATACTCATGATGATTTTGATGGTTTTGATGTGGACCAGCAAGTTATACTCATGATGATAAAATTTGAATTTGAACATTTTTCCTTTAATCATCTTCTCATTAAAAAAAATTGTCACATCTTTGTCCTGATATATCATAAGGGAACCGAAAGGATTAGAATATCATTTATAAAGACTGACAACTTGATAGATTTTAAAATGAGTCAATGACTCTGCCGCAGTATCTGAGTCGATGATTTCATGAAATTCTTGATCTCTTTGTCATGTCCTGTAATTCTTTGGAGTTTTTATGATCTTCAATATATGTTTAGATCCATCTGTTAAGTTTTCATAATAAAGAGGAACAGATCTGAAAAACAAAGTTAATGATAAAGTATCAATTTTTTGAAATATATGTCATATAATCCTCTTCAGCTCAGTATGATGGATTGCTGATATTTGAATTTCTAAACCTTCTCTGTTAATAATTAATTTTGATAATAAACAATAATTTAATAAATTTTTTAATTTCTAATTTAAGAATTTTCTACAATATGTTAGTTACAAAGAAATTGTTATTACATGAAACCCTTTATTACAAAAATTACAAAAAAAAAGAATTTTTAACTATTAATTTATGAGATACATATGATATTCCGAGTATTCATTAATTCTATATGCTAAAATAATATATTTAAAACATTCTATCATATTCTTTTTACAAATCTGAGTCTCAATCTACATCTTCTAAGTTATGAAATTCTCCAGCACCTCGTTTTTACACTTCATTATGTACAGTCAAACATATCTGGAGTAATCATCAATAAAAGAGACATTATTTCCACACGCTAAATGATGTTTTCTTCATTTAGTCCCAAACATATGCGTGAACATACTCGAATATACCTTTTGTATTGTAAACGACAGTACCAAAAGATACCCACATTTCTTTTCCAAATACACAATTGTCACAGAAATCAAGCTTGTAGGTGCTTGCTCCTTTGATCACTTCTTATTTCACCAAAGTAAAATTGATAATAAAAAGAATATGATAAAATGTTTTAAAGATATAATTTTAGCATATGAAATTAATGAATTTATACCCGGAATATCATATGAATCTCATAAATTAATAATTGAAAATTCTTCTTCTTGTAATTTTTGTAATAAAGGGTTTCATGTAATAATTATTTCTTTGGAACTAGCATATTGTAGAAAATTCTTAAATTGGGAATTAAAAGATTTATTGAATTATTATTTATTATCAAAATTAATTATTAGCAGAGAAGATTTAGAAATTCAAATATCAGCAATTTATCATAATGAACTGAGGAGGATTATATGACATATATCTCAAAAAGATGATACTTCATCACTAACTTTATTTTTCAGATATGTTCTTTCTTATTATGAAAACTTAAGAGATGGATCTAAGCATATAATGGAGATCATAAAAACTCCAAAGAATTACAGGGCATGGCAGAGTCATTGAAATGTTAACCCCCATACCTAGCCAAGATGATGATGGTTTGAAAGTTTTGATGATATTGTTATCTATAACTTGGAAATGTCATAGAGTTGTAAAAATGCAAGTGAATAAAAAGATTTTTTGCTATTCATTTTTTACCGGGACCAAAAAATTTACATTTTACCAGCAAAAAATCTACTTTTACATGAGGAATATACTTTTTCTAGAAATAATGGAAGGCATCTACTTTTGAAGATATTATCCAACTTTTTCAAAAAAACATTATTAATGGCCATTCACTTTTTTTTCATGAATCATGAAGGATCAATTTTTTCAAAGTTATTATTTCAAAATCATGTTCTTATGTGGTTTTCTATCAATCGTTTATGGTTTTGCTTAGGTTATAAATAAGAGGAGTGAGATCCCTCATCCCTCATCCCTCATCCCTCATCCCTCATCCCTCATCCCTCATCCCTCATCCCTCATCCCTCATCCCTCATCCCTCATCCCTCATCCCTCATCCCTCATCCCTTATCACTTACACACATCTCTCTCTCTCCACTCATCCCTCTTATCCCTCTCATTCCTCTCTTTAGTAATAGCAAACAAGTCAAGAAGTTTGTAGCAAGAGTCTGTAAGTTTATTCTTATCTTAATAAATATTTAGTAATCTTTCTTTTATTATGTTGTGTAAGTAGTCTTTTAGTTCTTCCCCGCAGGGGAGAAATCTGTTAATTTTCTTCATGGATATGTAATTCTTCATTCAAATATAAACATCTGTTCTCACAGTACAGATAAATTTACGGGCATGAAGAATAAGCTAATAACCTCTATGACCACGATCTTTGGGGCTTTAGAATGATGAAAGTGATGTTATAAGTCACGCTCTATGGCTGTGTGGCGTTTTAGGGCATGCGTGTCATCATTCTTAAACCTGAGGAAGATTTTAGTGGTATATGTTATTCTTACTTCATCTTATGCAATAAATAGAGTCAGAAAAATAGAACATGTTTAAATTTGAAAATTTAAATGTTATTATCTACGAAAAGATTTCAGATATGCTCATCCAGAAGGGAAAAACTCTTTATCTACTGATAAAACTTTTTTATAAAATATTTTCTTTAATACTTTAGAGATTTCTTTAAATATTTAACATTTAAAAAAAATTTCTTTCTTGTTATAAAAATTTAAAATGACTTTAGGATTACCAGTAGAATTAAGAAGAAGGATAGAAATTTTACCAATAAATGCTAATATAATTCAAGAATTAATAGACATAACTGGTAGAAAAGATATTCCACAAATACTAAGAAAAAAGTTAAATGAAAAAATTGAGAAAATATTTAAGAATTTAAAAGAGAATATTATTAAAGACCCATATAAAACTATAGTGATATATTAAAAAATTTAGATAATATTCTTAGACAAAAAATAGATAATTTATATGAGCCTTTTTACGGGTAGATCTCATGATAAAAAAACGGAAACCCACACACATGAGACTATTTTGGGCACTTTACTCTTTTAAAGAGTGTAATTTATTTTTTCATGCAAAGGTAAGGTGAAGTGCATGTAAAAAGTAAGGTTTACACGTTAGACGTGAAAATACATAGGAACTGAGTATAAGTATGAAGTAAATCCTTCATTAAAAAAAAATGGAGAAAAGTACCAAAATACTCCATGAACTATTTAAAGGGGGTCATTTTAGTCCCTCACTTTTAAATCGTGTCAAATTAGTCCCTAATTATTTTAAAGGTTGAAGTAGTCCCATAATTAAAAAATAATTGAAATTAGGTTAGGGTGTTAAAAATATGGGTATTTTTTGAGTTATGTTTTTTAGGAGTTCATGGGCCAAAATCCAAGAATATAGGTGTTAGATATGTATCATATAATTACGGTCATTTAAAAAATAACCAATCCCATGAGATTTATTTAATTATGATTATTTATAAAGTCACAAATAAGTAAGAGCGTTAATGATTATTATCTCCCTTCTTCAAAGAACATTAATGTAATTTCATGAATAATTTTTATAATTATAACTTTTGAGTGACAATATACTACTGATGAAACTAAAGGCATTTTTATTCTATATTACTGCTAGCTTGTTATTTAAAAATATGCATAAATAATTTACATGTCCGAATGAATCTATAATGAGTTGTCTTAAGTCTTACTTAATGTCATACAAATGACATTTTAAATATTAAAATAACAAAATATTAAAACTCCAAAATACCCATCCGATTCATACTTCCTCTGTTAATTTTAACTCTAATTTTATATTTTTTTTAACGATGGGACTGCTTCAACCCCTCTTAAAATAATTGAGGGCTAATTTGATACTTTTTTTAAAAATCGGGTAATTTAAACCCCTTTTAAATAGTTTTGGGACCATTTTGACACTTATCTCAAAAAAAAATTAAAATTTCCTGTCATTTTTTAAAAATCAAAGCTAAGAATTCAACCCCAGCCGAGCAATATAAATTGAACGGCTGAGATGAGATCTTTGGATGGCTAGAACCAAATTCATGAAAATCAAAATGACATTGAAAATCAAACAAAATCTATCTGACGGCTGTTAAAATTGAAAGGTAAAAGCTTAAAAAATAATAATAATAAATTCAAAAATTTAAGCTTGAGGGTATTATTACCTGTATATCTTGTGCAGGTGCTGGGCAGTGAGCTTGAATCATTTCCTTTGTCACAAAACCAACGCCGCCATCCCAAACTTCTGGTGGCTGTTAGGTGTTGGAAAATCAATTTTATCAATATTCAAAAAATATATATATTAATAAAAAAGTTTAATCTTATTTAAAGCATGGAAATATTACATACCTACCACACAATTCTTATGTATTTATATATCTAACCCCTGAAGTTTGATATTTATGCTTGTAGCACTTTGGTGTCATAAACGCATGCATGTCAAGGTGTATTTCGCTTTTAAAAAAAATTAATAATCATGATATTTTTTATGTGATTTTAAGATTTTTAGAGCTATACATATAAACATGAAAGTTTAGGCGTTATATATGTAAATATTAAGAATTTTGTTGGATATATGCAAATATAGGAGCCATTTACATACATATCACACAATTCCTATGTTACATAGCTAAAAACAAAGCTTTGATTTTTATAATGTCATCCAAATCTTTCATATCACATCAAAAGTAACACTATTTTAATTTTAAAAATGTGGAATACACTTTTTTCATGCATAGGTAAGTTGGCATGCATGTAAAAAATGAAGCTTAGAGGTTAGATATGTAAATACACGAGAATTGAGAAGTATGCATGTAAATGCACCTTAAAATTTAATCAAGATTGAAGAGGGCATTCATGCAATTAAATGATGAGATTCAAAAAGTGAGCGGGGAGATAAAAAGGACCTGATTCAAGACGTAATAGACTTTGAAGCGGCCAGGATAGTTTACTGAGAGATTGTTCAGCTCTTCCTGAGTTATATAGTACACAAATTAGCCATTTCCAACAATTATACAAGCTTTACATGTTTCAGGCTAATCCCTGCAATTCTCCACAATTAGGAAAGAAAATTGGTTTCTCATGACAAAATTGTGAGTTTTATATGATGGTTAAGATGAAGTTGATACTGACATTAAATAAATATTTAATATGCTAAGTTTGTTTGGGGTGACTACAAATTTAAAAAAAATAGTTGTAAAGCTGTCGTGGAGAAAATAATTTCTTAAGAAATTGTGGTGAGAATTATAAATATGTATTTTTTTTTCAAAAAATTAGACAGTAGCTTTGTCACAGCCACTGCACTTTAACAAGTTTGATTGAAAGTAGTTCCCCGAACAAAGTTGTGGCGGCAGTCGGATACACAAAGTAGGCAGAAAGTTATCCCAGACAGACCCCAAGCAGCTAACCCATGCAATCGGTAATAGGTAAAATAATCCAAACACGAATGGCAAAAAAGAAATATATATAGGAAACGACAATCAATACACAAAAACACAAGATTGCGACATTATTCAGCCGATACAATAAAGACACTTTATAGAATCTGCTTCAGATATGTCACAATTTGTATTATTAACCTTTAAAAGGATGTCATCATATGTCACATTCGCATATATAAGATGAACCAATGTTTTGTCATTTGAGTTCTCCAATATTGCCCTAGCAACCTGGAATAAAGAGATATTAATATATATATATATATATATAAAACAGCATCAACTAAAAACTACTCAAAAAACAAAAAAATCTTACCTGAAACATTGGGGTTATGCCTGAACCTCCTGCTAGCATTCCGAAAGCTCTAACTTGACCAACTTGATATTTGAAACGCCCCTAATGCAATAAATCAAGCAAATTAATATGACAAACCTGACGCATTATTCAAGAACACAAAATCCAAGGCTAAAATATCACGAGAAACACTCGATGAACGGAGCGAATAAGGCTAACAATATTATTCAAATCTCTTAAGTCTGTTTAACAATAAGTTTTTGATGCCATAATAGCATAAATTCAAAGCAGCTGAACACTAGCAAAAGGTTAAGGCAAATACTAACAAGCCCATCTAACATCTCATCAACATTCTTGACTTCAAACTGTGTGCATCACAGACAAATATTTAGCTTAAATAGATTTGGCCAAATATAATTTGGAAGAACTTAAATGAGCCCAGATGGCTTGAATCAACTCGTTAACAAGCTCGCGAGTTCAAGCTCGAGCTTGGCCTGATTTGACTCAAGAGATAGTTGAGTCAACTCAATTAACCTTTCGTATAATCTATGACATATCCGGTTAAAATAAACCATAGTATATGAATGGTATTGATTAGACCATGAAAGTTAATGGTTTGAAATATTGCCAAACAAATCATAATACCCAAGTCTCGGTTTGTGATATGTTCATCTGACCAAATATGAAGTTCAATAAAAAAAAGAAGCATTTACATGCATACCACCCAATTCTTATGTTTTTACATATCTAAAACCTAGATCTTGCTTTTTACAATTATACCACAAAATTCTTTCATATCACATCAAGAAACCACTATTTTAACGTTTAAAAAGTGAAATACATCATTTCATACACAAGTGAAGTGGCATATATACAAAAATTAAAGTTTAGGTGTTAGATATGTAAATACATAAGAACTGAATGGTACCTATGTAAATCTTCCTTAAATCGTGCACGAATATATAACACCAAAACAGAGTCGAATTAAAAGACCGAACAGCCTTTACTATAAATAAAGACAGGCAAGGTAGCATGTATGTAAAAATTGAAGCTCAGGTGATAGATATGTAATCACACAAAAATTGAGTGCATGTATGCAAATCTTCCTTAAATTGTACACAAAAATACAACCACCACGACATCGATAACCAAGATATCATGATAGAAAAATGTATTTCAATACAACAATGCAAAAAATTAAAGGGATCATTATATACATAGCACCATAAACATTGCTATTTACAAAATATAGCCCTCATGTGATAATTTTGAACTGTTGAAACGTTGTATTTTCACGTGCCACGATCAAACCATTGAAAATTTGATAAAAATGAAAAACACGTGTCGTGGTTTTTTCATGAATTTTGACATTTGAGCGAGAATTTGAAAAATGGATAAAAGAGGGTGCTATATTTGTAAATATCAATGTTTCGGGCGCTATGCATGTAATTGCCCAAAATTTTTAAATTAAAAAAAAATAGAATATTAAATACCTTGGGCCCCTTGACTGACAAATAGTCCCCGACTTTCATTTCACGGAAGTGATGAGACATTCTTCCTTGAGGATACATCTAATATAAATTTGCAGAAGCTTTAGAACAGCCAATTCCTATGCATTTATATATCTAACACCTAAACTTTAATTTTTACATTTATAACACTCCAATCTTTCATGTTACATAAAAAATACCACCATTTTAATTTTTTTAAAAAGTGAATTGCACATTTTCATGCATAGGTAAGTAGGGTTGTTGATGATTAGGTTACAAGCCAAAGTTGGGGTCAGCTCAAAATCGGCTCGAAAAAAATTTGATCCAAAATTTTGGCTCGTAGCTCAGCTCAATCATTCAAATGAATTTTAGAGCGACTGACAACCTTTGAGCTATTCGTTAAATGCACAAACTGAACATCACTAGGATTGTTAACTATCCAATTTCGAGCCGAATTGTGGTTGGCTCGAAAAACAATTTGATCCAAAATTTTGGATCGTAGCTCAGCTAGTTTATTTCCATCAGATCTTGATCCAAGTCAAAAATTTGAATCAATTTTTGAGCGATTCACAGCCCTATAGCTAAGGCAGTGTGCATGCAAAATTTGAAGTTTAGGCGTTAGATATATATAAATTTATAGAAATTTGAGTGGTAGGTATGTAAATCATCCTTACTTTTATAACAAGCTCGAAGTACCCAACATCTGAATCCAGTGTAGTTGGAGTATAAGGTTTGATAACCTCCTCGCCAAGATTATCCGTACCCCTATCATTCCAATCCAAATCACAAAACCTCAAATCAAACCAACTGAACTCACCTGTAAATATTCATAGCAACACAATCCATTCACTAAAAAAATAGTAAGATCTAAAAGATCAAATTACCTGCAACTAATATGTTGGCCGATTGGAAGACCCAGCACAGACGTTTTCTTCGGAAGAGCAAATCTGAACTTCGCAACATTATGACTCAACTGCTTCCGATCAACCAGCTCAAATTTCTTGAAATTTTCAGGATCTAAAGAGCCTGAAGCCAAAAAAGAATAATAGAATCAAGATCTGAGCATAATCGATTACTGGATCGGGGAATGAATCTCATCGTACCCTTAGGTTTCTGGCTTAGATAGAAGTAGGCGAGTCCGGCAGCGACGGCCGCCGCAGCCACGGCGATGCCTATGATCTCGATGGAATGAGACTGTAAATACTCCATGGATGGAAGACGATCCGATCCCCCGCGCAGAGAAACCCTAGAGAGGGATCGAATCGCTCTCACCCGCCTCCTTTCGTATTTCTACATTTCTGATTGGAACTCCTTGGTTCCCTGGTAGGTGAGGAAAATTTAACTTGGAGAATAAATATTAAAAGTAACCGTTAAAAAGGACCTAACCAATGATATATTGCCACGTAGATAATGATAAGGGTGTTGTTGTCTGGTGAAGCTGGTTTCTTTTATGAGTTAAATATGGGTTGCGGTTCTAGGGCTAGATCGGTGGGTCGGACTGTCGTGTGGGTCCCGCAACGAGACCGGTAAGCATGCAGGTTCTTAAGTTGCTTTGTGAGGTAGGTGGCCCGAGAAAAGTAGATAAAATTCTCATCTATAATTCTCATAATAAATTTACGGGGCATTTATAATTAGGGTTGTCAAAAATTAATCTGATATATTAGAACGATTCAAAGTATATTCAAAATTTTTAATTTAGATTGACGGTAATATTTTTTGAGTCGGATTTGAGTTTGGGCTTGAGAATTCGACTTTTTATCATTCTGATTAGGTTCGAATTGACCTGATACAGGTCAGATCATTGTTGGGTCAGGATAGAACCCGATCAGTCAATCCAAATTGAAATCCTTAGGTGTCAAAATTTGAACTGACCCGTCAACACGACTCCAACTCTGCTCGAAATATCTGGGTTCAGGTTAACCAAAATATTTTTCGAGTTCGGTTTGGGTCAAAGAATTTGAAATGTTTATTATTGGTTTTGGGTTAACTTGATTGCGGTCGGGTCATTTTCGGGTAAGGTTGGTTATTTTTGGGTTGTACCCAAATCTGACATGTTGACCCAAATTAACACTCATTTCACAATTTTACATAGCAATTGTCTATGTTTGCGTATCTATCTTCAAAAGTTTACTTTTGTTATATGTAGGAGAGTTTACGTACATACACGGAAAACTTTACACACAAGTCTTAATGTTTAATATCATACATCTAAAATTACTTCATCAATATGATTTATGATCATTGTGAGAACCCTCACGAAAAAAAATCCTACCCAAAATTTGGCAAGCCATCCCGAAGAGTGTGAGGAATTGTCTCCCTCACAAAGTTGCATCGCTTGATAATAGAGGACTTCATAGGTTGTTGCAGTAAGCATTGTCGACGAGCCCAGGGGCGAGAGCGACATCAAAATGAAAAAAAAAAATATTAATAGTAAGGGTCTGTTTGAGGCAGCTGCAGCTTATCTAGCTTATGCTGATAAACAACTTATACAGATCAGCTGGTCTTCAGTTTATCCAGATAATCTGGTGATGACCAGCTGATCTGTATAAGCTGACTGACTGTTTGGTTTGTGAGTTTGGAAAACAAGTGATTCTAGATAAATGACCAATCTGCCTCTATTATGGATAAGTTGTATAACTGTTTGGTTTGTGTGTTTTGACATATAAATTACTTAAAAGAAATAATTTTTAAAGGTATATTATGAGTGTCGTAGTTCAAAATTTCAAAATTATCTCAAATTATATTAAATTTCTAAACTATTTTATTATTTTTGGGTGGCGAGATGTTCCGGGGGCATTTGCATACATACCACCCAATTAAGTTATTTGTATATTTAAAATCTAAATTTTACATTTATAACCTCTAAATATTTCACATTATTTTAAAAATATTACTTATTTAATTTGTTTAAAATCTTCTCTTTTTTTTTCTTTTTTTTTCTTTTTTTTAACCAGCTCTCTCTCGCCCGTTCAATCGCCGACGAGCATTCTTCCTCCTCCTCCGGTGTGGTCTTTTGCTCGTTCATCTGCATTCCTCTTCTGGTGAAGGGATGCGGAGAAGCATCCCATGACCGGACGGAGAAAGGAGGTGAAGTCTTTTATATTGAAAGCCGGCTTCGCTCAACTTCTATCTTTTGTCGGATTCTTTGCTGCTCGCCACAACCACCGTTGCTAGCGGTCGGTCGTTTGTTCCTCCTCCCCCTCCTCCTTCAGATCCTCTCATTCTCTTCTGTATTATCATTCGATTTCATGAGTCTTGGAGCGGATGGTAGTTAGGGTAGAGGGACAATACGCTAAAGGGCAACAGAGTCTTTGGCTCAAATGAAACGCAGATCGTGGGGGAGGACCCGCGGTCTGCGCTTAATGAAAAAATGAAAACTCCTTATTGACAGACGCGTTTGGGACGTGCGATCCAAACGAAGGGGTTGCGTTTTGAAAACGCCACCGCAGTAAATAAGCTGCCCCAAACGCACCTAAGTCTCAATCATTTCTCAATATCACAAAATAAGAGTTAGTGGAATAATCTACCAAACGCCTCGGTTGGATCTTTTGAAAACAATTGTCAACTAGGAGGATTTATATAATCATCAATCAAAAGTGAATTTTCGCAATCTGGTCAGACCCGTGGTTTTTCCCTTTCCGGATTTTCCACGTAAAAATTTCTGGAGTCATCACTGCTTGTTTCTCTTTCATCTGTGTGTGTGCTGAATTATCGTACAATGCTAAGATGATAATTCATTACTCAACCGCCACGAATTTTTTTAGCACGCATCAAAATTAAAAAAACCATAAAACTACAATACTTTATAATTTAGAAATGGGCTTAGTTTTGTTCCAAGCTTTAAACTCATCCCATTTAATAAAATTGAAATTAAGATTTAATTAGTCAAATTTTAAAATTCACTTTAAAACTTGCATTCCATTTTCAGATAATTCAACTTGAAATTATATTAGCTATCATTATAACATGACCTCATGTTAGTTATTTACATGATTTTATTGATTTTTAACATTTAAAAAATGAAGAAAATACAAATTTAAATTGATCCATTTATAAAAACAAAATATAATCTCATACTATAAATATAAAACTACTATAAATTGCATAATAATAATATAGGTTGGATTCAAGCACTCATTTTGTCCAAAAAAAAAAAAAAAAAACAAATTATTCACTACAAATTTTTTAAAATCATTAATATTTTTGTACAACAATTAATAAACTTTTTTTAAAAACAAAATATATATTTATCACATAGATGAGTTATGCAAATTTAGTGTTATAAATATAAATATTAAAATTTATGTATTACATATATAAAAAGACGAAAATCATGTGATGTCGGGGTAAATTTCTTTAATAAAAATTTAAAAATTGAGCTTCATTGGGGCTGTTAAAAAAGCTTGTCGTTTTCGAACAACCCTCTTTCAGCTCATTAAATGGCTCATGTTCACATTTTTTGATTTTAATCCCACATCATTAAGACGAGAACATGAGCTCATTCCAAACTTATTTCAAACTAACCTAATCAAACACAAATTGGCCATCCACTAGCCATTTCGAAGATGAGCTAAGTCTTGAGCTCATTTAACCCCAAAGCTCTCTAAACCTTTTTTAAAAAAAAAAAAAAAAAAAAAAAAAAAAAGACCACATGACTAGTGCTGTGAACTTGGCTCCAAGCTCGCAACTCACTCGAAAGTTGGATCGAATTTAGCCTGGATCGACAAGCCAAAGTAAAGAATAGAATTTATTTCAATCCGACTTCAATCCGTCCTCGACTTGGATTGGGATTAGATCGAGATAAAAATAAATTGATAGCTATTTATATACTTACATATTCTTACATGATGCATTGGCAGCTTGAGCGAAGTGACAGGCTTCAAATTCTCTCTTTTCATCAAAAAAAAAAAAAAATATATATTTCCTGCTAGTGGGCGGGCAAATGTGATTGGGTTCGAGCCGGACCGATCCGACTCACGAGCCAAAAATGAGATTCAAATCAGCCCATTTACTGGACGGATAAAATTAGATCATAATCACACGTCTGCCAGGTGTGCCGCGGTGGCAAAACTCCCGGTGAAAGCTTCCGTCTTCTTCCTCTCACTGTAAATAAAATGATAAATAATTTCAAGCGAGATCGATGAATCCGCTTCCGCCGGTAAAAACCAGAAATACTCCACCATTCATTCACTCGACCTGCAATCATTTTCTACCACGTTTTTCAGCTCAAAGTTGTCTCCTTTTTTTAGATTTTATCTTCTGATCCATCCATTCCTTTTCAATCCCAGCTCTTAGATTCTCATCATTTCCTTCATCATATCAGCTCGATATAAAAAGAAAGATCTTATTTTTATCTGGTTTCATTCCCTTCTCATGCGATTTCGGGTCCGTAGATTTTTAGGGTGGACGGGAATTTCATTGTTCCCCCAAATTCTGAGCTCGCGATTTCTTATGGAGCAGAGATCGCAAATGATGAAAGCCATTTGCTGAATTTTATAGGGTTATGCGGATCTTAAAGAAGTAACTGAGGAAAATGGCAGAAAGGCATGCGCAATCATCTGCATGCAAGAAACCCCTCTTTCTTCTATTTTTTATCGCAACTTTAGTTTTTGGTTTATCCTGGTTCTTCCTTCTGGGTTCCACCGGTGGTCCTCGTTTGATCGAGCAGACTGTTCTTCCTTATTCGAAGATTCTCTCCACTTCTGAGAATCATGGAGAAATTCCCAATATGAAGGAATATGAGCAACCATTAGTGCAAGAAGAAAGCTTCTTTCATGACAGTACTGGTCCTCTAGAACACGAATCGGATCAATGCGATCCATCTAACACGGTTTTGAAGGTTTTTATGTATGATTTACCTCCAGAGTTTCATTTCGGCCTCTTAGATTGGAAACAGGAGACGAATTCTGTTTGGCCTGATGTAACAGGAAAGATCCCCGATTACCCTGGCGGTCTGAATCTGCAACACAGCATAGAGTATTGGCTAACCCTAGATCTCCTATCCTCCACAATCCCCGGCGGCCGATCGGGGCCGTGCACCGCCGTTAGGGTTTCAAATTCCCGACAGGCTGATGTAGTATTCGTCCCATTCTTCTCTTCCTTGAGCTATAATCGCCATTCTAAGCCAAATCCGCCGGAAAAAACCAGCACGAACAAGCTCTTACAATCAAAATTGGTGACTTTTTTAACTTCTCAGGAGGAGTGGAAGAGATCTGGGGGCAGGGATCATGTGATTTTGGCTCATCATCCGAACAGTATGTTGGATGCAAGATTGAAGCTTTGGCCTTGTATGTTTGTTCTTTCGGATTTTGGGAGGTATCCACCTAATGTGGCTAATGTGGAGAAAGATGTGATTGCGCCTTATAAACATGTTGCTCGGTCTTTTGTGAATGATTCTGGTGGATTTGATGATAGGCCAATTTTGCTGTATTTCAAAGGGGCGATTTATAGGAAAGCTGTAAGTTTTAATCTTCATTCAAATGTTGTTCTTTGAATTGTAAGATGTTGTCTGGCAACAGATGATGTTTAAGTTAGTAGGATTTGGTAAATTATTGTTTCCATTGCAACTTTTTTATTATATTTTCATTTTGCGCATTTACATACATACCGCACATTTCTTGTATTTACATATTCAACACCTAAAGTTTGATATTTACATTTACAACATTTTGCTGTTGTAAACTTTTGCATGAAATGGTGTATTTCCCTTTTACAAGTCAATGATAATGGTATTTTTGATGTGATGTTAAAAATTTGAGGGGCATGTAAATATTGAAGTTTAGGTGTAGATATGTAAATATATAAGAATCGGGTGGTATGTATGTAAAGTCCCCCTTCATTTAATGTAATTTTCTTATTTTAATAGAAAGGTAATTTTCATTTTATTTGGAAGGCATACAACTTAGGGGGTATTAATGAAAGAAAGTAGAAGATTTTGAACATAACTTGGTATCTTTTTTAGGAACAATGGATGCTTTAATATGCACTTAAAATAAGCTTGGTAGTGATTTACCAAACAATTAATTTTATATGTATTTTATTAGCATGCACATTATTTCTCTCGTTTTTCCTTTGTCATATTAGCCTTTTGTACTAATGCTAATTACATTCTTAGTATTTCATGACTTTTATGAATGGTTGAGACTTCATTGCGAGGTTAGATTTTAAACTTTGGATTTACACAAGTGTGCAACATTGAAGTATGTGGATGACTATGAAAATTTTCTTCTCTGATGTTTTTGTTTTATTAAGGGTGGCAAAATATGAAAACATAAAAGTATTATTTAGACCAAGAATAATATATCACGAAGTAAAGCAAAATGGAGGGAGAAAACACAACCCAGAGACATCGAAAGTAAGGACTTGATCTAGAAGTGTAGAATTTGTTGGAATTTATGTCTTATGAATTAGAACTTGTGGGTTTTTTTGACTTGATCTTTATAGAATTATAGTGGTAGTAGATCTATTGATAGAGTTGGACAATGGGTGATCAAATCATTAAAAGGTGTGAATATTTTAGATACCTTGGATCTATTGTTCAAAGTGATGGTGATATAAATAAGGATGTTATTAATAGAATGCAAGTTGGATGCTTGAAGTGGTGGAATGCATCGGGTCTATTGTGTGATAGAAAAATACAGCTTAGACTTAAAGGAAAATTTCATAAGATGGTGGCGAGACCTGCAATACTTTATGGCTCAAATTGTTGGCCTTTAGAAGTGAAGCATAAAACCAAGTTAAGTGTTGCGGAGATTAGAATGCTTAGGTGGATGAGTGGCTTGACACTTAGAGACAAATGTGAAATGAATTTATCTATGAAAGAGTCGGTATAGCTCCGGTGGCAGACAAGATTAGAGAGAGTCGTCTTAGATGGTTTAGTCACATTAAACGTTGACCTCTTGATGATCTAGTTAGGAGAATAGTGCTTTAGATGTGACTTATGTTAAAAAAGGAAGGGGTGGACCTAAAAAGACTTCGACATGTTGTGTAAAAAATGATCTTAATTTATTAGAACCTTAATTTATTAGAACTAAATGCGCAAATATGACACTCAATAGGACACAATGAAGAAAAAAAGATTCATGTAGCCGACCCCACTCTGTGGGATAAAGGCTTTTTCTTCTTCTTCTTGTTGTTCATCTTTAAAGAATTCTAAGAAATTTCTTACTTTGAGTCTTTCGTGGTCCACGAATATCTATCATATATATATATATATTATATTAAATATTAAGCAAGTGAAATAAAATCTAAAAAGGAAGGGGTGGACCTAAAAAGACATCGACATGTTGTGTAAAAAATGATCTTAATTTATTAGAACTAAATGCAAATATGACACTCAATAGGACACAATGAAGAAAAAAAGATTCATGTAGCCGACCCCACTCTGTGGGATAAAGGCTTTTTCTTCTTCTTCTTCTTGTTCATCTTTAAAGAATTCTAAGAAATTTCTTACTTTGAGTCTTTCGTGGTCCACGAATATCTATCCTATATATATATATTATATTAAATATTAAGCAAGTGAAATAAAATCTAAATTTCCCTCAACTCTATTGTGTGTTGTTGTATGTGGATTCTTCGAACACTTTATAAGTCAATATGATTTCCTTTGGGGCTAGTCTCTCTTGAATCTTCTATTGGGTGAATCGTTGTTTGCTCTTGTTATAAATTAGTTTCATAATTGTTGCATGTGTGTTTGAAGATTTGTCAAGTGTGCTATATGTCAATTTTCTTTTATATTATAAAATTTAATTGTTGCTATAATTTTACACTCATTTTTTATCTTTTGGGTGATATTTCATGTATGACAACTGTTATATTATTGTTTGGACTGAAGAAAGCATACTTACTATTTTCACATAATGGTGGCTGAGTTGATGACCTATGGCTTTTGGTTTTTTATGGGTTTTTATTATGCATCTCATCATAGCCTACATTAGCGAACTGTAGTCCTTAAAGTATTACATATCAAATTGGTATCAGAACTTATAAAAGTATGAAATAATACTTAAATCAATAAAAAAAAATAAGAGATGATGCAAAAATCAAAATTATATATTCCCCCTTCAATGATCGTAGCGATTAGCGGCATTATTATTATTATTATTAATTTTTTTTGCATTTAGGAAAACCAATTGCTATGTTTTCCTGAAAATTTGAGGAACTTGCTAAAATCCAAGCTTGATGAAATAGAAGTAGTCTTTTTTTACTGGATCTTATTCGAGAAACTTTTATTTCAAATTTCTTATTGGCTATAAATCTGACTTAAGACCAAGTCATGTAAAATTCATAAGTAAAATAAAATTTCTGTTTTTCTCAATTCTTGTGGCTGTTCAATTGGATGTGGGTTCTTATATCTCTTTCTAAACCTTGACAGCTACTTTCGGGTAAAAGTCTTCTTATGCCGGTGTGAGGCTTGGATCTTTTTAAGGATTTTGGGGTAAACTTTTGTCAAGCATGACACACGTTAGATTTCTATTGTAGTTACATTTTGATCATTGAGAAAATTTTATATTTCATTTAATATTTTTATTAGGTCGGAGATTCTAGCAACTATTGTATGGACGAAACCAACTTCAATCTTAAAGATGGGAAAAATTATTAAATTTTAATACTAAGAACTTGACTGTTGGCGGGTCTCTTTGTATGTGTTGTTTGGAAAGAGGGGGATTTAATGATTATTCGTTTGTTGGAACCTGAAGTGAAAATTGTTGTAGACAAAAATACTATAAAAACATCTTTTGATGAATGGGTCAAACCCGACCATTTCTCAAGAAGAATAGCTAAGGGTGCTGATATTACCACTCGGATCTAGAACCTACATGTTGATGCTCACGATTTCGATAGTCATACTAGCGATTTGGATTTTTAAAGAGATTGGGAAAAAAATCCATTGAGAGTGGGCAAAATTACTAAATTGTCTAAATTATATTGAAAAAAATTAAATTCTCTATCATTTATAGAACAAATTTCATATTCTAGTGTGGTCAATTGCTCGCCTTAGGTTTAATCTGGTTCCACCATTGCTACTACGTTTTTTTTTTGGAATGCAAGAAATATGTTTACTATTTTCGCATTAAAAGCGGCTGATCTCTTACTGAAGTTAAGATTCCTAACTTTCGGGCCGTGATTTTTTTAATATTTTTATTGTAGGTTTAATTATAAATCACGTCAATAAATCCTAAAATAATCTCAAACATTTGATATCACATAGCCGTTTCATAACTCTAGTACTTCTAAAAACAATGAATCCAAGAGAACATACGAAAAACCAAGAGAGGAACTCTTTGACTTGAAATTACTTGAATATAATGAAAAGAAGACGAAGTATCATGTTTAACCTACGGCGTTGTTGATAAATGGTTAAAACATCTCTCTTTTCACAGGGCGGAATTATTCGACAAGAACTATTTTACCTCCTCAAAGACGAAAAAGACGTTGAATTTTCGTTCGGAACAATCCAAAAGAATGGCATCAGCCAAGCCACCAAGGGGATGCGCTCATCCAAGTTCTGTCTCAACATCGCCGGCGACACCCCCTCCTCCAATCGCCTCTTCGATGCCATTGCCAGCCACTGCATCCCCGTCATCATCAGCGACGATATTGAGCTCCCTTACGAAGATGTAATTGACTACTCGAAATTCTGCGTCTTCGTTCGCGCCGCGGATTCAGTCAAAAAAGGCTGCTGAATCTGATCAAAGGGATAACAAAGGAGGAATGGACCCAAATGTGGGAAAAGCTCAAAGAGGTGGAGGGATATTTTGAGTATCAGTTTCCATCTCAGAAGAATGATGCTGTTCAGATGATTTGGCAGGCAATTTCCAGGAAGGTCCCTGCTGTAAAATTGAAATTACATAGATTTTGGCGGTTTTCTCGGTTCAGACTGAGATGAGTCTTCTTACTTTTCTTTTTGGTTCACATTCTTTGAATATTTATATAAATATAATTTTTTTTTAATTTATACAGATGAGTTATGCAGAAAGCTGTGATTTTGACATTTGTTCATACTTTTTTAAGTCATGTTATGACATAATAAATGGATGAGATACAGATTCTTGCTTATATTGTTTGGTTTTAGGGAAATTTACAAATCTACCCCACAATTCTTATGGATTTATATATCTAACACCTAAGGTTTGATATTTATATGAAAAGGTGCATTCAACTGTTAGTAAATGTGATATTTTTGGTGTTATGCTAAAGATTTAAATGTTATGAATGTAAGTATTATAGGTTAGATATGTAAATACATAAGAATTGTGTGGTTTTTATATAAATGCCCCTTCCTTCTAATCTTTCTGAATCTGCAGACTTTTGGTTCTTCACTGATTGTTTGTGTTGACATTCTTCTGCTAGTTTTTCAAACAGGTTTCAGAAAATTTTAAATGAAAGTTGTTGAAATAATTGGGGAAAAATGCTGCACATGAATTGTTGAAGAGAAGTCAGAAGGCTTTTCATCATATCATAAAAGATTTGCAGGTTCATTGATTTTCTTTGATTTTTTTTTATTGATCTTTCAGCTGGTGTTTGGTAGCTAACATTATTAACAGGAATTAGTCGTGAATTTAATTTAAATATGGCCAAGCATAAAAAAAAAATGTAAATTAAATCCAACTCTTTGTTTAATCATATTTTTTCGAGTTCCGTCTCTTATATGATGTAAATCCGATTGTGAGGTGGATTTATTTCGTCACTCGACTGCTCCTCCATCGCCTGTGAAAGAGAAATGATTCTTTAAGCTAAAGTTAGAGATGATTCTAGAGAGAGAAGCTATGAGAAAATGTCATAGAATTTTGAGGGAGTTTTGCTCTGACCTGCTCAGATGTTTCCGAGATCCTGGCTAGAAGCTTCTCATGGAAAACTGGACCTTTTTCCCCGTAGTGAGAAGACTGCCCCCATGACTCGTGGCAGAACGGTCAACCTGGGCAGTGGCCTAAGAAAGTTTGTGTCCCGAGGCAATGTGCACCTCCTAGAAATTCAGGCAGGAATTTGATCCACACAACTTGAAAGAACAACAAACTGATTCTCAGCCAAGGGATTCGAAGACCCAACCTGGGCCGGAATCGGAACAACAATAGAATCCTGCGGTCGGGATCGTAACAACCTGTTCCGAGTCCTCTGAGACATTTGATCGATAACCCCTTATGGGTTAGGATTAAGATGGTTCATAGTCTATAAGTTGTCTCCTAAGGCTCTTAAGATGATTTGATCGACATGATTCAGATGAACATGAGTGTCTAATCTCACTAGTATTTTCTCAGTTACTTGTGATTAATTTTATAAATGAAGATTCATTTATGTACCACTAAATTCTTATTTATTTATAACAAAGATAAATGATTAATGTGGGGGCAGATGCAATCTCACACTTATTTTCTTCTGTTGAGTCATTGTAGTTTTTCTTTTTGAGGGTGACACCTTATATATATATATATATATATGTCACTTTACCTATTCTTTAAAAGGTATATTTCTTTTTTTTATATAAGTTAAAATAATGATATTTTCTTACAAATTTATCATTGTGCATTTGTTTTCCCAACCCTTCTTCATCAATTGCATGTAAGTGAAAATAAATTGTTGGGGAACCAACTTAAATTATCAAATACTTTTGTAAATGCATTATTCATGTACCCTTATAAGCCCATATTTTTAACAAAACAACCCCTAAAAAATACCTGAAATTCATGCATCCTTTCATGTGTTGTATGCTATTTATTTATGTGTGAGCTTTTTATGTAACATTCAAAAGATAAACTCATCCTCACTATGTTATGAATATTCTAGTACATAAGCAATTCTCTATAAGTTAACTTGATTATTCGAGCATGAGACATGCAAAAATTTAAGGCACTTAACTATGATCCTTTTACTTATATATTTAACATCTAAAAAAGTGAAATACATATTTTCCTGCATGGGTAAGATGATAGGTATGCAAAAATTAAAAGTAATGTGTTAGATAAGTGAATACATAGATGTAATGTAAAAAGTGGCTTCACAAAACTAATAGGCCTGGTTGAGCCAAAGTGAAGCAAGGAAAAAGACGGCCCCGATTGGACATAGGTCGCAACGACCAAACAACAGAGTCAATGAACTAGAGTACTATATTGGGTCGATCAACTTTCCACTCATAGTTGATAAAGCAACGTGAGCCACACGATTAAGAAATCAACAGGGAAGGGTGATTAATTAAAAGGCAAGAGAAACCTAAAGTCAGGTGGTCATGCTCCGATCGTTAGCAACTAAATCAGATCTCTCATACAAAACCAACAGGCAAATCAAGACACCCCAAAGAATCGTCCGATACTAAACTGATAAGACCAAGGTTCGTGATCAAGCAATCCATGGTCTAGATCGGGCAGCTCAAGCAGAATGAGGGTAGTAGCGACTAAAAAGTATTAGATATCTCATGTCGATTGAAAAGTATTAGGTAAAGTAGCGACTGCATGGGGTCACACTCGGAAACTCTTTTGGTTGGATTCTCTTTTACTTGAAATAATGTAACGTCCCCTGAGGGGGTTAAACTCCTATTAATAGGAGGTACTGTACAACAAAGAGCAAGAAAATTTTCTTTTGACTATATTAAGAAATCTTAGTTAAACATCAAAGAATATTTTTTCTCTCTCATAGAATTTATCTTTTCTTTCAATGCGTGTCTCGACTTGTTGGTTAGCATATATGGTATAAGAACCCTCAGGCTAAGGGTTCGAATCACATCTCACACAGTTGACCTTAAGGAGGTGGTACTCGAATTGTTAGACACATTTGGATGGTTGGAGGCTCGTATAATTATATATATATAAGCAATTATGGCATCCTTAGCTGCCAAGTTTATAGCTTTATGTTGACATAATGCAAATATGCCATCCTTAGCTTCCAAGTTTACAGCTATGTTGACCTTATTTATTTGTCGTAGTATTAGGTTTGTATGACATCATCAATGTATATTATTATAAATACACATTACTTAGCATTTAAGCTAGTGGCCCTCAAAGAACCACTATTCTAGTTGAATTGGGAAGTAATGAAAAAAAATTAAGTCGCAATATTATGTTGAAGAGCTAAGAAACTGGAGAACTAAATGCACATCCAAAAACATGTTTTCTTACTGTAACAGAAAAACCCAAATACTAAGTGAACCTCATGGGTCTAATAGATCAAACCCAATGACCATGCAATTAATGATTTGATTCTGACCATGTCAATTATATTCGTTGGTTGTGTACTTTTGGAGGTGAGAAGTTATGGTGCTTTTGCGCCCAGAAGGACTTACAAGTACCTCTGAAACTCATCAACGCTCAGTCAAGCTCCTCTGATCGGATTCAACGAGCTTAAGCTTTCAACCTAGCTAGCTCACTTCTCCCAAGTTATTTATATAAGCTCATTGTATCAATGGAAATTTTCTATCAAGAGCTTGATGAATAGTTCTATAAGACGGAAGGAGAAGAACACCAGTTCGGCATCATGTATATGATCATTTATTGGTCCCCTTAAACACACTCTAAGAACCTTACCAACAGCTATTCTGCTCAGACTTCATACTATACATCCTATAATTTAGCTCTTCAATTATTCCTTAGACCTTTGCACGGGCACATAGGCTCTACAATGTATAATAAAAGTGGGAGAAGACACAGAGTCCCTCTAAAAAATTTCTTTGGCTTACTCACACTTATTTCACAAGATCTCTTCCGAATTATATGAGTTCACAAATCACATAGAATCCAACGTCCCAAAAGGACTCAACAATATGCAAACAACAAAGAGGTGCACTGTCTCACAAATTTAAATTCTCAAAATTCACATGCCCCCCTCAATTCTTATGTATTTGCATATCAAGCATCTAAACTTTAATCTTTACACATATACCATGAAAAGATGTATTCCTCAATTCAAAAGTAAGAAAAAAAAAATGATTTTTTTATGAAATGAACAAAACATTACATACTATAAATGCCAAAAACAAAGTTTAAATATTAGACATGTGCCACACGTTTGCACTTCCTCTGTTCAAAAATTTTCAACCGAATCCGAATTCAATATAAAACTCCCACTTGCAACACACATTTCATTCTAGGGAAAAAATATTACATCAGGATTTTTAACGTAGAGTTAGGTTCGGAGTTCACTGATATACAGACGCGTGGTATCAAGGAAACGAACATGCTTTCTTGTGATCCGGCCCGGAAACACAGGAGAATATTCTTCATGTGCTATTTCATGTTATTTAGATTTTATTATGATGATATTGGTGTATTATTGTGTTATTATAACACCGGGAATATTCCCAGAACACAATAACACATAAATATCATCACAATAACATCTAAATAATGTAGAATAACACAGAAAAAATATTTTTCTGAGGGAGAACAGTTTTTTTTTTTTTATTTTTTATTTCATCTGCACACATAGCGCCTAAAATTACTAAATTTACATCTTCCACACCCAAAATTTACTATTTACATAAAACTACATCGTAGTTAACCGGGACGCTTCATATGTAAACATTAAATTTTGGGACCATCACTCCATATAAACTCCCCATAACCAAACAGATCTGAGAAAAAAACTCAAAACTCAGACATCAATGGCGGACGAAGTGAAGTTATTGGGTTCCTGCAAGAGCCCTTTCAGCCGCCGAGTTGAGATCGCCCTCAAGCTCAAAGGCGCCTCCTTTGAGCTCTCCGATCTGGACGTCTTCTTCTCCAAGCCGCCGGAGCTTCTTCAGCACAATCCGGTGCATAAGAAGATACCGGTGCTCCTCCACCGGGGGAAGGCGATTGCAGAGTCGCTCGTCATCCTCGAATACGTTGATGAGGTCTGGAGCAGTTCTGGCATTCGTCTTCTTCCGGAGGATGCTTATGAGAGAGCCATGGCTCGGTTCTGGGCCAAGTTTTTTGACGATAAGGTGTTTGATCTTTGTCCTCTTGCGTTCTTCTGTATTTATTTGGCCTTTTATGTTATTTGCTATAAGATTATGGTATGATTTAGGAAGATGTTACATGTGTACCACCTTTTCTTATGTATTTACATATCTAACACCTAAAAATTCAATTTTTACATAAATGTCGCCTTCCCTCTGCATGAAAGGGTGTATTGCACTTTCTAAATGTTAAAAAGGTGTATATAAAGTTAAAATAATAGTATTTTTGATGTGATGTCAAAGATTTGGGTGGTATAATTGTAAAAATTAAAGTTAAGGTGTTAGATATGTAAATAAGTAAGAATTGGATGATCTGTATGTAAATGCCCCAATGATTTATTTTGTATGATTTTTTAGCATCTCTATCACATCAAAGCTTATATATTAAGAAATGTATTTCACTTAAAAAAATGTCAATGTTATTTCTTATATGGTTTAAGGATTTATGTGTTATATTACGAACTATCAAAATATAAGTATTAAATATGTGAACATATAAGAATTATGTGCTATGTTTGTAGACCCCCACTTAATTTTTTTATATTAATTTCTTTGATGAATATATATATATATATATATATATA